AGAGATGTTTGGGGGGGGCGGGGACGGACGGACAATTGGTGGCTGGGGTCCAATTTCAGAGGCTTTGGACCAAGGCATACTTCCTGTGGCTGGGGTCTTGGTTGGGCTCCAGCCACTCCTGATGCCCTCCTCCTCAGGGCCTACAGAGCAGGGCAAGTCTGGCTCACCCTGGCCTGATGTGGGCAAGCATCAGGCTGCCTGGGACCTGGGCCAGGGTGGGGCCAGAGGGTGCAGGGATGGCCTAGGTTGGAGGAATGTGGAGCCTGTGTGCCAGGGACCCCGAGTGCAGCACATATTTCAGGATGGAGGCCCCTCGGTTGGGGGTGCTGCTCATAGAAGGGTGTAAGACACCTTTGCCTTCTAGAAATACTCTTGGGAAGGAGGCCGGCAGCCAATCACTCGAGCCTTTGCTTCTCATTCATTTAATAGACAGGATGGAGTGCCAGGTGGAGGGGAGTGAGACAAGTGGTGAGAGACTGGGGCCAGAAAGGAAGAGAAAGGGAGGCAGAAGAGGAGGAAGACCATTCGCTAAGTCAATAGGGATACGGGGTCAACGGAAAGAAGAAAGACAGGCAGACAAGTAAGGTCTCAGGAGAGGGATGAGAGCCAGAGCCAGTTAAGCCCTCCAGGCATCAGCACAGAGCCAGGTGTCGGTCCCCCTTGGGGGGAGGGAGACCACAGGTATCTGGGCCCGGTAGGGGCTTCCACCATCAACAGGGCCCAGGAACCGGCCTAGCCAAGGTGGAGGGCAGAGGTCAGAGCCGGCCTGTGCTCCACTGTGGAGGAAGGGCACGGGGCAGGGGCCTGGTGCAAGAGCGGATGGAGTCCAGAGCGCAGCTAGGCGCTCTCCTCCCCCATCCCTGGGGCTCCCTTCCCGATGTAGGTCAGGAGGATGGGGTGGCTGTAGCTGACGGGCTGTCAGAGCCCAGCGGGAGACCCCCTCCCCCAGCCTTACTTTCCCCTACGCCCCTCCCTGTCCTGGTGCCCCCCGGCCCAAGGCAAGGGTGGAGGGGGCAGGAAGCCGCGAAGGCTGGGCCCAGGCAAACAGCAGGGAGAGAGGGGCAGGTCCCGGCGTGCCGGGGCAGGATGGCTGCGGAGACAGGATCTAAGCCGCAGGAGCCCTGGGATGGACAGCTTCCCACCCCGTCTTCTCCCCAGCCCCTTATCTCCACTCCTCAGGTTCCCACCTCCCACCACACTCACCTCGAAGCTACACCCGCCATCCCCCCTACCCCCACTTCCTCCTTTCCCTCTTATCCTGGGCCCAGAAGGATGTCGGAGTGTCACAGCAAAGGGTGGGGGAAGGCGTTGGGGGGACGGGTCAGAACCTTCCCCCAACTCTACCAGGCCAGGACCAGCCCCCTCCCCCAGCGTAGATTGTCATATAATATTCATGAGCCTCATGAATACGCAATGTTCTCCTAATGGGGCGGGGGTCTCCATTCTGTCTCCCCGCTTGCGACTCCCTAGATTAACCCCAGAAGCGGCAGCTTGGGGAAGAGGGGACCCCAGATGTGGAACCAGATGGAGGGGGAGGGGGAGCTGGTCGCTGACGGGCGGCCGCAGTCACCGCGGGGCCGGG